AACATGGTTTTATAAGAAATTCGTTCCTTAACGCACCTCAGAATGGTTTAAAAATACTTTGTCTCAAACATCTGGTATTTGGATCTTGGCATATGTTGAACATGTCGTAGTTTGTGAAAGGGAATGACCAAAACACGTGTGAACAGTTGGAAATGATGACACAGATGTTGAAAGATGTGAGTGGATGCTATCTATAATGGTTTTCGTGCACTTTAACTGCATGTTCCTTTCTACCCTGAGGCTCTGTGAGCGCGAACCCCCGTGCCTATGACAGCAGTACAGCACGGAGAGGTTATGAAAATGGATGGTTGCATTCTGCTTTGCCTCTGGAGAGCAAAGCAAGGGAGGGATGGACTCCATCATCAATCAGAGAGAAAGCGTACTTTACTAGAAGTACTGTCTACAGTCTATCAAGCACACAAAGAATAATTTGTACTTGTGTTAAGTCAGTCAGACGGATGGAAATAATGAAGTCTGCTTGGAATATATTAAATTGCACCCAGTAATGTTCTGCAGACATTATTTACCTTCATCGTGCAGCTTCGGTTTAAGAAATTTCATGATATGACAGAGAGCACTCCTGGCACAGGTTTCGGGCTATGCATGGGTCTCCTGTAGATGAGCTTGAGCAATCGGAAGACAGCTCACTGAGATTTCTTGGATACGCATGCAATGCAAATGAGCATTCAGCATATTTTCTTCTTCGGGAGTTTAGGTAAACGAGGGATTCAGATTTTCTCAGAACAATGTCATAAATTTGAAGATAAAAATCTGCTATGAAGAAAGAAATGCAGCACGTACTCATCAGTGGTCATCTACAGACAGCTTAACAGCTGCTCCTGCTTAGCAGTTTTCAATGCTTTTATTTGACTTTCTTGAGTCAAAGCTTTAATTAAGCTTTACTCCAGGTATTGTAACAACTCCATTGCACCTTATCTGCACCGAGGCATACTTGAAAACAGACTGAACATCAAAAACGAATCACATGGAACTATATATATATATAATGAAATTAGGTTGGGGGGTGCAGCCGCACAAAGAACCTTCTCATGAATTATACTGTAATTACAGAGAGGGACACAAGGCTCCTCGGAACCAACGAAAAGCAGCCCAGAGATTCCTTACTGAAAAAGGGCCCTGTTGTCTACACCCTTAATTAACAAAGATGAAAAGAAACAACTGTTATTGCTACGTCTGATCCTCTCCTCTATCAACCTTCCCGCTAATACAACCTTTTAAATATAGAGGAATGTTAATAAAAAAAGAAAATGATTGACTTAGTTTGGACATTTATGGCAGTCTTGTGTTTGCCTCGTGTGGCTGCAGGGATTCACTCAAATCATAAGAGCAGTTTTCTGTGTCCTGAGGAATGATCCCACTGAGATACTCTTCTTTTCACCCACAGCTGTAGGTTTGTGCTGGGGAGAGAAGTCAACCAGGCCAGGCCTGTCATGCATTCATCTGATTACATTCCTCTGGCAAAGCCAGCATGTAAAGCTTGACAGTATGTTCAGCCGTCCTTACACACCCAGGAGTGCGTCCACTGGTCATTAGGTGGTAGCGTAATAGTGAGAACAACCTTGTTATGTATAGTCACAACAATTCTCACAACAGTTTTCCTCCTGATGTTAATCAGGCAGAAATGGAAGCTCTCTTATCACCCATTCATTGGCACATTTAGATATACGACCACTCCACAGCATATTAGTCAAAATATTACATCAACACGATGTCAATCATCACTCACAGCGAAATAACTAAAAGTGCACATATCTGCTTGGAGCTATGTTTCGCCACTCCTCTAGTCTTATCCAATCACCCTCCCTCAAAAATCAATTCTTTTACCTTTTCTGGGCAGTTTTTTCTCCTTTCTCCTCACCGCCTGTATCGCTACTCTCCACCCCCCCCACCCCCCTTCTCAGACGCTACTCTACATGCAGTTTATTTGACCAAGGCTGCCCTCTACATCCCATGACTCTGTTTCTTAAATTGTCATCTAATTCCTGTCAACTTTCTGTTCTTTTTCCGCCATTTATTTATAAGCAAAGAAAAATAAACACAAAATTAATTTAGATTGGGAGAGAGAGAGAAGAGAAGAGAAAAGAACGCCTGGATGCATGAGAGAAAATCTGGAGAGAGGGGAACAAAAACAGGGGGAAACAGGAATGTACAAGGGTAAGCATGGGATGAGAATGATTATGAGAGGGGACGTGAAGGAATAAGGGTGGTGGGATAGGAGGCAAAGCTGTCAAATCAACCTTGAGAAAGAATTAGAAAGAAAATAAACCAAACTGGACTTGCGTCAGATTGAATGGGAAGCTTTGGGTAGATGGACAAACAGACAGGAGCATTATTAAAAGCCTGAGACATAATTACACTTGCATGATTGGCAGAGTGTCTGGCTCTCGTTACGTTGAGTTGAATTTGATGAGGTTACCCAACAGGAGCTATTTGTAGAACATGATGTGAAACTGTTACTGATGATCCAACAACAAAGAGCTCCTGTGATTTATATCTGCATCGGCTTATGTGAGAAGTCTGTGTGTGCTTTGCTTTGGATTCTCAGCAGTACTGTAAGGGACAGCGCATTTTTAGGCAACTGCAGGAAATGCAATAAGATGCAATAAGATGCACAGATGTAATAATTCAGTGCAATTTCATTGTCTGTTGATAATAATCTGGACTTGGCCAAAATCCACTAGTGGACAGTCATACAGCCCTGCAGCAGATTGACTCCTGCAGACTGTGTTTGTGCAGAGCATCATTTATACAAACTATAAACAATAGATTTTATTGGCTTTCCCAAATTAACACTTTGTTTGTCTTCCAGGAATGGAAAGCATCAGTTTGGAAACGGACTGGGATAGGTTAGGCCTCTCCGCTCTGGGCCCCACAGGAAGAAACAACTTCTCTTCCTCGTTTATTTCTGAACTGAACTCATTCAACACGTCTCACAGTGGGGGATCCTTCTTTGGCATCTTTCCCGAGAATGGCTCCAATAGCACACCTCGCTCCCTTCCCCAGCCCAGGGTGAGGGATATCGGCTTGGCCCGGGCTGAGATTGCAGTGCTTGCGGTGGTGCTGGCTCTTACCACCTTGGGGAACAGCTTTGTGTTGTGGGTGCTTCTGAGGCGGAGGAAGCACAACGCGCCGATGCACATATTCATGGTCAACCTGTGCGTGGCTGACCTGGTGGTGGCTTTCTTTCAGGTGTGTACAGGAGTTTCTTTGAGGCATTATAGCAACGTGAATATGCGTAGATCACAGCAGTGGATGAAACAAACATTTATAAAATGGTCTCAGTTTGTTAAAGGCCTGTTTTGTTTTGTTTTATGCCATAAGTAAGAAATGTTTATTTCTTTTTGAGTCTAAATATTTCATCTTTACTAACATTTTTTGTCACACTGAAAACTTGCTCATCTTAATATTGATTTTTATCTTCCATGGGAATTTCTTTTTCACTTAACTGCGTTAAACTATAAACCCACTTAACTGGGCTTATTCTGTAATTGTGAGTTATATACTGTCTGGATCTGTTACAGCTGTATACACTGTTCCACAAAAATACCAATAATATAAATACTGTGCATTTCTTTTTTACTTTGCCTCCAGACTTTCAAACTTTCCTGTAATTTTTAAAGTGGTCATGAGCAATAGTTCTCCAGCATTTCTTTGGCCATTGGAGGCTTTTTCAGTTATTTCAGTCCAGTCCTTGTACCTGACCTTTTTCAAATGTGGTCTAGATCTACCCCATAAAAGAAATGAAAGCAACATCTGTGCG